GTGGAGTGAAACTGAGGAGGATCCAGAGATGACCAACATAGATAATAAAAGGGTTTGGAATACAAGCCATAAGACAAAACATTGAGGAAGTAGGTTTATTTATTTTGGAGAAAAGGAAATAGAAGAGAAACATGATAGCAGTTTCCAAACATTTGAAAGGCTGCCATAAAGAAGAGGGAGAACAACTGTTGCCCCTTACCATAGGGGCAGGACACAACACGATGGTTTTAAACTGCAGAAAAACAGATACGTTGAATCTCAGAAGAAAAACTTTTGTATGGTCAGAACAAGCTGCCCAGGGAGGTTGTGGCCATCTCATTCACTGCTGATTTTCAAGGAGATACCAGATAAACATTTGTCTGAACTATTTTAGGAATAAGCAGAGGGTTGGACTGGGTGGCCCTTGAAGTCCCTTCCGAACCTATGATTCTATTACTTGAAAAGCTACCATAAATGAAGAGAAGAACTGCCACAGAGCACAAAACAATGAATTTAAACCACAACCATTCAGATTTAGATTAAATCTCAGAAAAACCTTCCCAACTGTATAAACTATAGAACAAGCTGCCCAAGGAAGTTGTAGACTCTCCTTTACTGGAGGTTTTTAAAGAAGCAGAAACATCTTCTATCTGGGCTGTTCAGAAACAGAATACTTTATTTATGCAAGGGGTTGAACTAAAGGACCTCTGAAATCCCTTCCTACCCTATAATGATCTGTCTCCCTAAACAAATACTGAAAAGTACTGACATAAGCACAGGATTTCTGGCCACACTCCAGAGCAGGAGCCACTTATAAGAAGAAACTAATTTATTTCCTGTACATTTGAATAGGCATCCTTTCTTAACTCTAATTTCTCTGTCTATTTCCTTCTCCTTCCTCCCTGTGAAGGGCTTAATTTAATCCTGTCCAAACAGGATTAGGTGTACTTAAAATTCAGTTTTTCCAAATTTTGCAACTCTATGTAAAAAATAAATCATAATTCTTTCCAAAAACAGCAAAGGAACTTTCAGCACAGCTCATTTCATCCCAAGCAGGTACATTTTCATTAATGTTGTACTCTACAGGGCCAAATAGCCAGATACTACCACCTCTGCTCAACCTGAGCACTACCTTGTTATGCAAGTAGTCCCAATAAAGAAGGCAAGACCATGTGGAATCAAAAACTCTGTACTCCACTTGCATGGAATACCAGATAAATGCACAATTTGCATAACTGCATAACATAATACCAGTCTATTTGTTGCCTGTTGCTTACATTGTAAAAATCTCATTACCTGCATATCAGTTAAATGCATAAACTACTTGCACTTAGGCTAGGAACAGACATTGCATTTATTCCAGAAAAAGTTGCACCTGTGTTTATCCAAGAACAGAAATGTCCCAGGATTCATGCTTATATGCATCACCCTTTCAAGTCAGGATTTAATGCTTTCCTGTATGCACTGCTGCTTTTCTGCCACTGATTCAATGATACAGTTCCAAGGCAACCATTCAGATGCACTTCATGATATCCTGAGACAAACTGCTAACACTTCTTATTCCATTAAACTTTTTAGGAGACTGGGACAATGGACGTAGATGTCTGAACAGGATGAAACAGTTTCTCCCATGAAAAAAATGCAGCTAAGTTTGGATAAGTGCATACTTCAGATAAGCGCATAGCCCTCTTTCAGTCCTGAAACCATGCACTTAAGTGAATACAGTGAACTATTTCCATCTCTTTTCTCAGTGAGTATCTGGTCCTTTAAGAACATCATAGAAAATGGTGGCTGATATCATTTATCAAGCAAAATAAGTTTCTCTCAAGAGACTTATTGAATAGAGCTGATTAGAGTGATCCATTTCATCTACAGATAATATGAAAGCACACACCAATAAATCAGTTTAAACAAGTGCGTATCTGTAAGACTTCTGCCTCATGATATGATATCAGTATACTAGCTGCCATAATAAAACCTTTTTTACCTTTCAGTTATATTAACCTTTTTTCATGTTTGCCTTGTTACTTCTTCATGCTGATTACTCAGTGAAAGGAAGTGTTTTCTGTTTAAGGATGTGAAAAAGGTCATAAACAAACAGGAACTTGAACCAATCTTTGTTTACCATATTAACAAAAAAACACCACACTAATGTTAATATTTGCTTTCATGTATAGTACATAGGCTTCAGTTACCTATGAAGAAATACATGAAGATGAGCAATGTTGATCACAAAATCTACTTAAGAGAAAATATTGATCTCAGAAGAGTGATATGGCCATAAATGACCAATTTAAAATTGAAGGTTCTGGTGCATTTACTTTCTTTAAGAGGCCGTTGAGTAACGTATCAACTCTCCTGGCATTATACTGCATTTGGCACCCAGAGGAGCAGGATATGTGATCATAGGATGCAAGTTAAAAGAAAGGTTATTACAATTATTGAAACCAAATTCAAAGTTAACAAGGATAATTAATAAGCTAAACACTTTATTATTATAGAAGAGCACTGGGTCAAAGTTCCAAAGAGATTTTTTGTCAAAACAAATTTGAGTAGAATTTCAGCTTCAGTTTCAGTGTTGGCCTTGATTCATGAAGTACATAATACATTTTCTATATGCAAATACTCACAGCAGCAACCAGAGTTCATCCCAAATTCCTACAACTTACTGAGGAAAAATACAGATCAGGATTTAAAGTTTGCCATTTGGACATATTTGTAATATTTATTCTTAGTGTGCAAGCAACTAATGTACTTTATAATGAAAAAAATAATTCTGCATCTGGCAGCGAATATTTCATAGCACATCAGAGGTCTACTTAATAAGAAACTCATTTTATTTTACAGTTGTATGGAAGCCCTGAGCAAGATCAGAGCTGCGTTATTCCAGGCACTAGAATAATGCCCATATGCCATGACACAATCCCTGCTCCACAGAATTTTTATCCTCTTGCTGTCATGACCAAGGGTTGATAACATCTGGCCCAAAGGCCACATGCAGCCCATGGAGCCATCAGATCTGGCCTGCAGAGCGACAGGTCTTTGCCTGTGCCCATACCCACACCCATGCCAGGGAGCTGGAAGCTGTGCCCTTCTCTCCATCTCCACCCCCACTTACCCCAAGGTTGCAACACAGCCACAGCTTCCAGCTGGTACGGAGTTGCACTGGGGCTGGGCTGTGTAAGGGTGGAATCAAGGAGACGCTGAAGGAGTGTGGAAGCAGCTTCCAGTTGCCTGGCTCTGGCACAGCTTCCATCCAAAAATGAGCTGTGCTCACAACAACTAGGGAGTGGGGGGACTGAGTGAAGCAGCAGTGTTGCAGGCGCAGGTCTCAGCTGGACAGTGGTTGCACCACAGCCATAAAGCTGGAAGCAGCTTCCATTCTTTCCTACCTCCATCTCCTCCAGCTTCCCAGCTTGGCCCTAGCACAGCTCCCCTCCTCAAAGACTCGCACCACAGCCAGGGAGCAGTAGGGCTGAATGAAGCAGCATCAGCATAGGTACAACTCCTAGTTGTGTGCATCAGGCAGAGGAACAGGGAAAGCTCTCCCCCATTGTGGATGCACTAGTGAAACCACCCGACCTCGACATTGGGTTGTTCTAGCCCGCAACTTAAAAAAGGTTGCTGGCCCCTGGTCTTGACTATATAGACTATAGGATAATGTGCTGTTATCAGCCTTTTACAGATAGGCAACTGAGGAAAAGACTAAGTGATTTACCCAAGGTCACACAAAAAATATGGTACAACTGGTACCATATTTGTTTTACAATATGGTAAAACATCAAAGTGCTCTTCTAGAGCTTTAACTGCAAAACCTTGATTATCACAATTCGGGAGAGTACAGAGACATAGACCTAAACCCACCACTACTCTGGAGAACATATGTGCATGGCTAAACATGTGCTTAGACTTTCCTAAAAATCCCAGTTAATGGATTTAAGCATATAAGTTCCATTAGTTGCCAATAGTACTTTTCCTTCTAAGAAAATTCAACACTCAGTGGATGACTTAAGCGCATGTTTAACCTGAATAGGATTGATTTCCTGAAAGAGGGCCCAAAACTAAAGCTGGATGAAGCTCAGATGTTCTGATCCAGACACCAACATCTGAAGCTTGTTTTCATTCTAATCTAGTTCTTCTGTAAATTGAAATTTAAGTCTTTCACTCTTGTGGTTCCTGAGAAAGCCTCCAGAAAGTGACCAGAATGTAAATTCCATTCTCTTCCAGATTCCCAGTATACATAATGTTTTTCAAACCACATTTTTATATCACTGATAGGAAAGAAAATCTGAAATATTGGTTCAGATTGTCACTTTAAGCTTGCTGATACTGAACCTTGGGACCTAAATAGCTCTGGGAGTAAATCCAGAAAGCCAAGTCAGACTCCTAACTTCTTCATACTTTAAGACAGAGCTGTAGCTCCCTAAGACTGGGATTCAAACCCAATACTTGGTGCACAGAGCAGGGGTAAACCTAAACCAGCCAATACTACAGAAGTAGTGTGTATGTTTGAAAACTCCCCTCTTCCCAGACTTAGTTGCCTAAAAACAGTCCCCAGTTAGGTGCAGGTATTTCCTGGGTGGCAGAAGAAAGAGGGGGTGACTAGGTTCGAGTCCAGGGCCAGCCCACAATTTTTGGGGGCCCCCTGCAAGGCATAGCTTTGGGATCCCCTGACATGACAGAGGCATCGGCAGTGGGGGGTAGTGAGCACAGAGGCGGATTGAGGTGCAGTAGGCCCCTGAGCAAGCACAAAATTGGAGGCCCCCTCCCCCCATGGGAGCTGGGCTTGGTGGGGAGGGACTCCTTCCCCTCCTACTGCTGGTAGGTGAGGCTGGGTGGGCCCTGCCAGGTTGGGGGCACATACCCGCCACGGCCAAATGTACATATACATATGGCAGTCAAGGTTCTTTGGGTAAATCTGATATCTTCTATTAGATGAACTAAGTAGTTGGAAACATTTTTTCTAGTAAGCATTTGAGTTTAAAAACCCTTGGTCAGGCTAAGGAAGCATCTGCAGTTGCCGTGTGCTCTTCCTGGATGGAACGAATAGTAAAGAAGCCAGAGGCTGGTCTGTATGCAAGCCAGTCTGTGAAAATGTAAACTGAGGAGTCAGTGGGTTTCATGGCATCAGTCCTTAAACCGCCTGTTACCAAAAGAGCAAGTTTTTTCAAAGACACTACAGACTTTCTGCGAAAACTTAAAAACACAGACCACCTTCCCAGCAACACCCTCCTAGCCACCATGGATGTTACCAGCTTATATACCAACATGCCACACCAGGACAGCATCCAAGCCTGCCTTACATATCTACAAGAGCAAGATGACAACTCTGAGTACAGACCCAAAGATATTACTGAAATTATATGCTTTAGCCTCATACACAACATTTTCACTTTTAATAACCAACACTTACTCTAGACCATGGGCACAGCTATGGGCACCAAAATAGCTCCACAGTATGTCAACCTTTTTATGAGCCACCTAGAAAAAGAATTCCTCAAAGACTGCACCATCAAACCCTTGCTATACTTAAGATATATCGATGACATTCACCATTAGGACTGAAAACCTGCAATCTCCGATTGAGTTCCATCAGAAATTCAGCAATCATCACCCCTCCATCCGACTACTCGAGTACTCCAGCACCAACATCTCCTTTTTAGACACAATGATCAGCATCCAGAATGGTAAAAAACAGACCATGTTATACAAGAAGCCTGCAGACCAACATACATATCTGCACAGAACTAGCAATCACCCTAAACACACCAAGAAACCTGTGCTATACGGCCAAGCCCTCAGATCCCACCAAATTTTCACTAAGGAGGACACCTGGGATTGCTACATCACAAATCTTAAAAAGGCTTTCACACAACAAGGATACTCCTCCAGAGATATAGATACACATTTGAAAGAGCCACCTGGATACCATGTGAAGAATTGCTGCAGTGCAGAAGGAAAACCCCCACAAAAATCACACACGAATGACATATCACCCCTCCCTTGAACCTATATAGAAAAATCAAGAAACAATTGCAACTCATACTAGAAGGAGACCCAATTCTTAAAGAGATCTTCCCAAATCCACCCATCCTAGCCTTCAAACAAGCACTGAACCTCGCTAACCTCATCACCAGAAGCAAACTTCCCATGGCCCAAAACACGCTGAATGGATCCAGGCCATGCCATAAAAAGAAATGCAAAACCTGCCAACATATCTCCACCACCCCCACAATTACTATACCCCACAACAGAACCATCACCATTCCTGGATCTTACACCTGTACCTCCAGAAACTTTATGTAGCTCATCCAATTCACTAAATGCCCTGATAGAAAATACATATGAGACCAAACAACAACTGCTCACCACAATGAACACACACCATCTATTAAAGACAAGAATACTCAGTTACCTGTGGGGGCACATTTCTCATGAGAAAACCACTCTCTCTCCAATCTCTCAGTTCTAATCCTCAAAAGGAAATTCACAAAACACTTTTCACAGATGGGCCTATCAACTTCGCTTCATCAACTTCCTGGGTACAAAAAATCATGGACTAAGCATAAAAGGAATACAAAGATGTAGAACTCTTGATTCCAAAATGATATCTTTTATTAGACCAACTGGGAAATCACAAGAAAACTGTTCTTTTCTGTACACTTTCAGCCTCAAAGGCCTTTCATTAGGCGCTGAGAAAAGTATAGATGGTAAAAAGTCCCCATAGATAGAAAATAAACTTCATTTTTACACAGAGGGAGCTGAAGATGGAAGGCTGTCCCTCTGGATCCAGCCTTTTCTTGTGATTTCCCAGTTGGTCTAATAAAAGGTATCATTTTGGAACCAAGAGTTCTACATTTTTGTATTTCTTCTCATCTCAGACCAACATGGCTACCAAGTACATCTCTGAAACATAGAAGATGCCAAATTTTAGCCGATTTTGGATTTTAAACTTTGTTTCAAAACAACAAGAAAGACTTTTTTACCTCTCTGCCTGCCGACTGACACCTCCAGGGGAGGAATTTTACCTAATCTACATACCAAAGAGCAACTCAGCAGAATTCTCAAAGACACAGCTCCTAAGTACATCCCTGGACTAAACATAGACGATGGATTTATGACACACTATGAGCTGCCTGACATCTAACTCCCCAGGTACCTCTCCACTTTTTCCTGCTTCATTCATCCCCCCTACTCCCAGCCTGTCTCTCACCCACTGACTCCTCAATTTACATCTCCATGACTGCCCTTGTTACAGCCCAGCCTCTGGCCTCTCTACCAGATGCTTCCCTAGCCTGACCAAGGGCTTTTAAGCCCAAAAGCTTGCTAAGAAAAAAAAAAGTTTCTTATTAGCCCAACTAAACAAAGATTTCACACACACAGACAGCCCTCCCCCCTCTGGCTCAGTCTCACTCCCCCGACCCCCCATTACACTTGCATGCAGGGAGCTGCTGTCCAGCCATCCCGAGCAGCTCTGCAGGTGCAGAGGGCTGAGCTGGGCCCGGTGGGGAGCAGGCAAGGCAGGGCTCTCCCAGCCTGGCTTGGTCCCCTCCCCTGCAGGCGCAGCACCGCCTGACCCGCAGGCGCAGCAGGACTCTTCAGGCAAGACCCCAGCCCTGCCCCCCTTCCCCCAGCCCCATTGGTAGAGGAAGGATCCTGCTTCCAGCTGCCAGGGTAGCAAGTGTGAAAACCACAGTTTTAAACTTGGTGCTGAAAATGGGTGCAGAATTTAAAACTGTGACTTTCACTTCCCTGCTGGGGAGGATGCCAGCCACATGGGGCCCTGCGGCCACAGGTTTTGCAGGGATGGATAGGCTGGCCCTGTTCCAATCCCTGGGCCTGTGGCTATTAACCGTCTAATAAAATAATAAACCAACAGGGATGAGAAGGCAGGTTTCCCTGTTCCCTCTTACTACCCTGAAGCACCTAAGTCAAGGGCTGGCACCCTTTTTCAAACCAAAGGCCAAGACAACCTGGCTTTAGTCCAGAACGAGCCGGGTGGCTTCCATGGCAGCTCAGCAGTGGGAGGGGGTGCTTTCCCCATGCTCCCAGCTGGCAGGTATTGGGTGCAGCTTCCAGCTATGCCGTGACTGCTTCTCCCAGCCAATGACTCCAGCTGCAGTGTGAGCATAGGTTCCACCCAGAAGAGAGCTACACCAAGGGCAAACAGCTGGAAGCTGCTTCCCCTACCCAGCCAGCCCCAGTGCAGCTCCACTGCAGCTAGAAGATGTGCTTCCACCACAGCCTTGAGAGAAGCAAGTCTGGCAAGCCAAGCTAGGCAAGAAGACTCAGAACAGCAAGGCAAATAAAACAGCCAAAGAAAGGTAATATATCAAATGTAACAGCTCAGGAAGCTGCTGGAAGAAGCTTCACAAAGAAACTGGTCCTGCCCCTGCCAGGGTTAAGTGAGGACAGGGCAAAAAAAAAGGAGGGGGAACCTGTTACCACAGGTTCAGGAGAAGGGATATTAACTCCATTGCAAGGTTCTCTTGAGATATGATCTAATAAAAGCAGTTCCAAGGTCAAGTCTTGTTTTGTGCTATTGCACTCCCCCTTTGATTCACCTGTAATTACAAGGGGTCATTCAATCAGTTTGGTAGCTGTATAGATGTTCTCTCACAAAACGGTATATAGTACTCAAAAAACAGACCAGTGGAGTCAAGTGGAGCTCAGTGCCCTTTCTGTAACATTTTTAACTCTCAGATCTGCTGAGAAGCTGCCAAATCATGGTTAAGGCTTCTGGCCAGCCTCCAGGATGTCAGCAGGATATCTGCTGTTAAAAGGATTTCGTCTTGGATTCTAAGGAAGAGTTGGAGAAGATGTGGTGTGAGAACCAGGCTGGATTACATTCTGGTCACCTTTCATAGGTTCAGTTTGGAATCATAAGATCAAAAGATTTATATTTTGTTTAAGGTAAAAATGTAAGTTCTGAAGCCCAATAATCCTTCACAAGGAGAAAGAACCAAGTGACTGGGAACCAGCCCAATTCAAATTCTGTGGAAGAAATAAGGACTGAAATCATATGGACATTTGCTACATAATGACAAACAGAAGCTCCACTTTTTTTACCTGCCTGATGTGACAGTGTGAATTACCAGCCTCCAGGAATCAGGTTGACAGTGATAAATACTACACAATTTTTTATTTATCCACTAAGCATGAATGGCTTGTATTGTTGCTTTTAGGGCATGCGGCTAAAATGCAAGATTGGAGGCTCTCCAAGTACTCCTCTACAGTGTACAGAAATATTTTGATATTGAAATATTGTACCTAGAATGTCTCCAATTCTAAGTTTTTTAGATGATCTAAATGAACAGCCAGTCAAGGTGAGAGAGGTCCTGCACAGAGCAGCCAAGACAACAGCCCCATCTTTTAGAATGGAATAGCAGACTCCCCAGATTTCCTACAACAAGGAAAGGAGAGGGCTTGATAGGATCATCATAGCCATGTCTGTCCTGCATCCCTGTGGGATGGCTATGCCTCTGTGGGCACATCTACATGTGTGTATTTACTGTGCAGTATCCGAAATTACTGCACAGTAATGGTGCATGTCTACATATGCATGCCCATACTACATAGTAAATATGGTGACCTATGCCGACTTGACCTTAAATTTGATACCTGCATCATATGTAGGCCTGATGTTGCATAAACTCTCTGCTAGTGCCAGTATCATAAAAGTTCCTGATGCATCAGGTCTCCAGACCTCTCTTCACCTATACCAAAATACTTTGAACATTCTTCATTTGTAGAGCCCTTTCCTATAACTTTGAGCATCCTAGGAGACTGAGGAATTGAAAAGATTGAACAAGAGAGAAAATTGATGGTGGAGAGACTGCAAGCAGGTCACACTGCAGATATTTCTTGGTTCCATTTTTTGCAGCTCAGCCATTGACCAAGTTTGAATAATGTTCATGCTGAAGAAAATTAAGTGGCTACAAGGCACCATCGGGTTACAGGAATGAGAAAACACACCCACTGATGGTCCCTAGACCTAGAACAAATGAAACTGAAGTTTATATAAATTTATTGATAGCTTTTGAATTAGTGCTACAGTTGCTGAAATTATAAACTAAAGCTATAATTTAGCAAGGGTTAATTAATATAATAGTGATCAATCATCATTTTTAAAAGGATTATTTACTGATTTTGCATGGGAAGAACAGATATTCATGGCTATGGGAGTATTCCAATTGGACAGTTTACCTTCCAAATGGGTTGGTTTTAAGGCAAAACAGCTGTTCCTCACTGCAAATCAACATTTCATGTAATTGCAACAAAGACTTTTAATAACAATTCAGTGCAGCATAAAACCAAATTCAGGGAACACAACTAAGCAGGGAGACTCTACTGCTTTTTCCACAATTGTTCTTTGTACTGATGGCAGCCTCAGATGCTATTCTTATTATTCAGTGTTCCCTTGTAAACCAGTTAAATGGAATTCAGCTAAACAAAAAAGTCTTGTCATAACCACAGTTATACACTGTATGTTCACAGACACAATTACATAGGTTGGCACAATCCTAGGGGCAGCCATCATTGTGCATCAAGGCTGCACAATCTCCAGGCAAGTGAATAAACTTCTCCAGACATTTAGGGGCTACACTAACTCAAGGCACTTTATGTAAAGTACATCTTCCACGTAGATGCTTTGCAATATAAAAGAAGCAACATTTAGTGTCTCTGTAAAATTAGGGGAGTGAATTTAACTTAAGGATTTCAGTCCTTATTTCTTCCACAGAATTTGAATTGGGCTGGTTCCCAGTCACTTGGTTCTTTCTCCTTGTGAAGGATTATTGAGCTTCAGAACTTACATTTTTACCTTAAGGAATCCTCCTGATTCCTTCATTCCGAGCTCCCCATCAAAACATCCATTTTTCACCTGGCTCTAGATGGAAGTGGAAACATCCCAAGAATCCATTATGATAATCACAATAGTTTCTTACAGACATTTTATAATGTGACAAAGCAGATTGTTTGCTCTAGATTCTTGGAATTCTCCTCCTCCTATTTTAAAATATTTAGTTGTTTCCTCTTAAGATGTATTTTCAGGAATATATGCTTTCAATTCATCCTAGGAACTCTGGAAGTCACTTACATTACATCTTATCTACTACTAATACATAGCCTGATCAGCTGCCACTGAATTTTGCGGGAGTTGTACCAATTGCTTTTAATACTAGTGTTGACTTAGACACCAGAGGAGCCACTAACCAATCCCGCATCAGGCTCCAGGACAACCCAAGTCAGTAGTTTTCATAAGAATTTTTATGTTGTTAAATTGCAGAATATTTGCAACACTTGTTTTATGTAGTCATCTGGGAAATGCAAATGGCATGATAAAAACACACCTACACATTGAAAATAAGTTAAAAGCTTCACTGATAAGACTAATGTGCAGGTCTAGCAACATTTATAATCCATGAATTGCAGTCTAGAAAACAGAAAGCTATTTTATCTGTGTTTATTTCTTCCAGAAGCTAAAAAATATTGAAACTTTACCAGCTCTTGTTTTCTCTCTAAGGAAAGGAGCAGCAGCTGGTTGTATCTCTGTAATTGAAAAAAAATACACCTGGAAAATTCATCTTCTGGCCCAGGTAGGTCCAGCTCCAAAATGAGACTTAGGCCTGGTCCTGAGATGTGGTATGGTTCGGAGAAGATTTAATATTTACACACTTGGATAAATTAGGGCCTCCCTGTCTCCCAGGGATATGTCTATCTGTTGGCTACTGGTTCTCAGTGTAATATTGTAGGGATTACTCCGTCTTCTCCTGCCATGACTAATGAAGCCACACCAGACAGTCTGGGACTGAACAGCAAATGCAATTATATTGCTGGTAGACTAGTGATGGATGGTGCCTTTGGACTGTTGAAGGCAGCTTCTAAAAACATTGGGAGATAAACACAGTAAATGAGGTACACAGCTGTGTCCCAGTTCACCCTGCGCATCTGCAGGCTAGAGGGGAGTACTTTCGTTCAGAGTGGATTCTCAACACTGATGGACTTCATAGCCAATTTTTATGTCTAGTGGGTGCACCCGTAAACAATAGACCCATGGCTAACAGAGGCAAGGAAAATTATGGAAGCTGTATGTGCTCACAACCACATCACATGGAAATTTTAATTAGGGATCAATTATGAATTTAAGAGCTGTTTTACCAGGAACAAAATACCATGGAACAGGGATAGGAAACCCCCTGTACGTGTGCCAATTACTGGCACATGGACACATTTTCCTCGACACACCAGGAGGTGTGCTGAGGAAAACGTTTAAAAACATTTTTTCAGTTGCTGCTTTTCGCTCTCCAAAGCAGCCACAGCTCCCCAGCACTGGGGGAAGGATTAGGAGAACACAGGCAGGGATGCAGGGATGCTGTCCATGTTCTACTAACACCACCCCCATGTTTGTTGAGCTGCTGAGTTATACAAAGCTTCACAAACTCAGCCACAGGCATCACAGACAGCATCCCTGCCTGTGCTCTCCTCACCGAGCTCCTGGTGCCTCCCCAGCACTGAAGCTCTTATGAATCCTAGCAGGCTTGGACGAAGAAGTGTCATGGCTTTGCTGGTTAAAGCACCTGTCTAGTAAATGGCAAAGCCTGGGTAAATATCCCAGTTTACCCCAAGGACTAGTTTTACCAGCTCCAGTGGTGCAATAGGTTAGCATGTGGTACTTTTAAAGTAGTACTGGGGAAATAAAGCCAAGGACATGTATTCAGGCCTCACCAAGCACATTGGCCTCAAGGGTGCCATGGCTTAGCAGATTAAAGTACCTGTCTTGTAAGAATGTGATCATGGTTTCAAATCCCAGAGGTACCTTGAGGACTATTTTTAGCAGCTCCAGTGGTGCACTGCTTTAGCAAGTGGTACTTATATTACTGGGCAAGTAAAGCTTTACTTGGGTGATTGAACTAAAAGGTGTGCCATGGCCTAGCTGGTTAAAGTGCCTGCCTAATAAACAGGAAATCCTCCATTCAAATCCTAGTGGTACCTCGATGACTTCTTTCACCAGCCACAATTGTACAGTGGGTTAGCAAGTGGTACTTTAAAATTAGTACTGGGCAAGTGAACCATTAGTTCAAGTGGCACTGAAAGTGTTGGACTCAGAGGTGTCAGGGCTTTGCAGGTTAAAGCACCTGTCCTGCAAACAGGGCTGAGGTGGTGCCATGGTTGGATTGCTTTTTTTTAAAGCACCTGTCTCGTAAACAGGAGATTGTAGATTCAAATCCCAGGTGTATCTTGATGGCTCATGTTACCAGCTCAAGTCATGCAGTGGATTAGCACAGGGTAAAGTAAAGTAGTACTGGGCAAGTGAAGCCATGGTCCTGAGTAAAAGTCTCTCCCCCCACCTGGGCCTGTGAGGTACGGTGGCTTCATTGGTTCAAGTGCCTGCCTCATAAGGAAGCCCTCCTGGGTTCAAATTCCAGTGGTACTTTGAGGTCTCATTTTATCAGCTTCAGTTGTGCAGTGGGTTAGCACGTGGTACTTATAAAGAGGCAAGTGGGCTAGTGAAGCCAAGCTCATGATTTCAAGCCACACATCATGTACTTGATACAGTGGTGCGATGGCTCAGTAGGCTAGAGCACCTGTCTTGTAAACAGGCAATCCTCGGTTTCTAGTGGCACCCTGAGGGCTACTTTTACCAGCTGCAGTCGTACACTGCTTTAGCATGTGGTACTTATAATGTAGTACTGGAGAAGTAAAGCGTCACCTGGAGGGCTGAAATAAGAGGTGCCATGGCTTAGTTGGTTAAAGCGCCTGTCTAGTAAACAGGAAGTCCTGGGTTCAAATCCCAGTGGTACCTTGAAGTCTGGCTCCACTTGCCCTTTGGGTTAACATATGGTATTTATAAACTTGTATTGGGCAAATAAAACCAAGGTCATGAGTAAAACCCTTACCCTGTTACAAGGGGCCATGGGTCTGTTCTTTAAACTGCCTGTTTTGTAAACATGAGCTTGTAGGTTCAAATCCCAGGTGCTCCTTGAGGGCTCATGTTAGCAGCTCAAGTCATGCAGTGGGTTAGCACATGGTACTTAGGAAATCATCCTGGGCAAGTGAAGCTAAGGTCATGAGTAAAAGGCTCACCCCTGACATCAACATAAGCAGTGCCGTGTCTTAGATGTTTCAAACAGCTGTCTCATAAACAGGCAATCCTGGGATCAAATCACAGTGGTCCCTGGAGGGCTCATTTTACCAGCTGCACGCATGGACTGGGTTAGCACGTGGTACTTATAACATAGTACTAAGGAAGTAAAGCACCACTTGGAGAGATGAGCAAAGAGGAGCCATGGCTTAGTTGGTTAAAGCAGCTGCTGGGGGTCCTGGGTTCAAATCCCAGTGGTGCTTTGAAAGCTAATTTTACCACCTGCAGTCGTACACTGCTTTAGCACGTGGTACTTATAACATAGTACTGGGAAAGTAAAGCATGACCTGACCTGCTGAAGTAAGAGGTACTATGGCTTAGTTGGTTAAAACACCTGCCTAATGAGCAGGGAGTCCTGGGTTCAAATCTCAGTGGTACCTTGAGGACACATTTTACCAGCTCAAGTTATACAGTGGGTTAGCACATGGTAGTTAGAAAGTAGTACTGGGCAAGTGAAGCCAAGTTCATGAGTAAAAGTCTCACCCCAGACACAGGCCCATGAGGAGCCATGGCTTAGTTCAGGGGTGGGCCAGATGTGGCCCACCAGGCCATTCTATCTGGCCCATGGGGCCCCTAAAAAATTTAGAAAATTAATATGTATATGCCCCTGGCTGCCTGTCATGCGGCCCTCGATGGCTTGCCAAAACTCAGCAAGCGGCCCTCCGCCCAAAACCATTGTCTCCCTCTAATGAAGAAAAGTACTGGGCTAAGCAAAGATAAAGTTAATAAGCTATAATAAGGAGCATAAATAAAGGCTGAAAAACAAAGGGGCTTTGAGATAAAACTTATTGAGAGACAGAGAAAACACGTTTAGTTTAGCAAAACTTTAGAGTAATTTATTGTTAGACTGCTAAGAATGTATTAAAGAGAAGAATTTTGTGTGGTTTTTTTTTTTTTTTTACAAGTATATAACAAAGTTTGAACTTTGCAGTTGCAGAGAATTTGCCTCCCTTGCTTTTTTTCCTGTGGCCATGTAAAATAAGTAAAGCGCTCTGTTAGCTAAGCAGTGATTCTGTCATGATTTTTACATTGCCTTGGGGGCTCATCTGGGATGTGTCCTCACACAGACTGCCCTAAGTAGGACCCTCGTCTTGGCTCTTCGACTCTGTCGTTTCAAGAAAGCTCTCCTTGACCCGGTTCTTTAGCTCTGCAGCTTCAACACTCTGGACCCTGATCTGTCATCTACCTGCTTAGCTTTGCAAGAAAAGTCCCTAGCCAAGGTAAGTACCTGTCTGTTTCAGTATCTGTAAGTCCTAAGCGTAACAATAGGTAGCAAGACCTCTAAAGTCCCACAGCAAAATCCCGCCTGGTTTATACTTCTAAAATATAAGCCCCGGTCAACTCAATACTTAGCAAAATAAAATCAGTACACCAATAATAATCCTAAATTACGCTAGCCCTTAAATAAGTCCTGAAATCACCAAATTCTCAAACACCTCCAAGGAAATTTAAAAAGCAAACACCCCGTTCAAATAAAAGCCTGGTATCTATAAAAAACAAGTCCAAAAAAAGTGCAATAAGCGCTCCCTTATAGCTTCCTATAAAAAAAATTTTTAAAAATTTAAAAAACATATTAATCACCTTCAAACTCCCCGATCAAATTCACTTTTCAAAATTGCCGCAATGCTACCACTGACATAAACATGCTTCACCCCCAACAAGGACCCATGAGTTGCCATGGCTTAGTTGGTTCAAGTGCCTGTCTCATAAACAGGAGATCCTGGTTTCAAATCCTAGTGGTACCTGGAGGGGTCACTTTACCAGCTTCAGTCATGCAGGATCTCAATATTGCACAGTTAGACAGGAGGGTGTAGTGTACAACTGTATATGCACACATAAAAATCAATTAAACACACACTCACTAGGTGCATACACCCCTATTCGGCATACACACTCACACTACCAGCTCAGGCACATACACTACACACCCCAAAAGTTAGACACAGATTACTAATTTGTATATCATGCATACAATGCCATATACACACACACACACACTCTCTCTCACACACTAGCAACTCAGATACACGCACATTCAAAATAACTAGTCTAGGTTCAAGCACACCTATCACCAGTTTAAGCCCATACACAGAATTAGTTACCAGTTACCAACACCTGCACATTCAAGACACGTGTATTACTAATTTATATACCACACACACACACAATGATATAGATATCATGATATCTATATATGTATCTATGTGTGTATTCACTAATTTACACACATACGACCCACCTACACATACAGACAAGTGAGTTCCTAAGTTGGGTATTGTGATATGTATGCATGTGCTTGGTGTACTTGGGATACCTGGGGAAAGGTTAAGGTAAGAAAGTAGGAGTGTAGGGAGTTAAAGTTACCAAGACCAGGATTAGAACTACAGGGGCCTGGGCTGAAAAACAGAGGCTGGGGGTAACTTCAGGTTAATTGGTCTTAACTGATTAAAAGACAATGCCCAAGGCCTGAAGAACAGGGAAACAATGCCAGCACAGCTAGGGAGGAGCTGAAAAGGTAGGTAGGGAGAGGGAAAAATGGGACTAAGGGCAAGTGTGGGTGTTAAAGAAGGGCTCTGGGTGTAGGGAGCCAGAGGATGGCTCCAGAGCAGCTAGAGAAGCTGCAGAGAGCAGTAGTGGGTGCTGGAAGCTGGAGAGAACTGCAGGACAGCTAATAGGAGCTGGGAAGCTGCAGGAGGTAGGGAGCCTGAAAACAGAGAGAGGGCAGCAGAAAATCACAGGAAAAGCAGCAGGGACAGCAGGAAAGCAAGGAGAGGCTGAGAGGTGGCAGAAAAGGGGAGATAGAATTGGGAGGAGATTGGGAAACCAGCAGAGAGGGTGGGAACTGGAGCTGAGAGAGACAGAGAATGAGGCTGGAATTAAGATAGGGAAGGGACTGGAATTCAGTAAAACATGACCCAACTCAGGGTTGCAAATGACAGTGGTTTTATTGAACAAGGGAGATGGTGACACAATGCCAAATTGGTTCCCTTGTGTGCGCGCGCGCGC